CATCTCTTACTCCCTGTCCTTATCTTTATAGCTGGGGCCTCAGTTCTACTGACCTCAAATAGAAACAAATTCTTACTGCAACCCACACAACTATTTTGCTGGAGTCACATTTATTAATAGGACAGACTGAGGCAGCATACCCATTTACCCTCTATTCATTTTTGTGAATTCTGTCCCTCTAGTGTCCATACATTGTGTCAGCTTGGCTGGATGCCCTAGGCAGTGGGTCCCTCCTCCCCCCGTGGGTTGAGGTGGGCCAGGGAGGGCCCGTCCCAGAGTGACTCAGCACAAAAAGGGTATATAAAGGGGTGGAGAAATGATTCGGTGTTCCACTACCTCCGAGGAACTTCAGTCCTCAGGTCAGCTTGGGCATCATCTCTTGGCTTCCAGAACAGACTCTTCAGCCTCCGGCTTGGATCCTTCAGGCTTCCATAGCAGATTGTTCAGCTTTCCATCACAGACCCATCAGCTGACTAATACAGACTTGCATGGAACACTGCAGTGAGCTCCAGACATTGGGAATGAATCCTTCACTCTCCAAGTGTGCAGACACCTCTACACACTTCATCCAACGCTGTGACTGACCATCATAAGCCAATCTTGTAATTTCTTATACATTTGTACATCTTGTATTATACCTGTTCCTTGTATTATATCTATTCCTCTAGTAAAACCCTAACATGGTCCCACAGTGTAAGAGTTTGTAGCTCTATAGTAAATTCTTAAGTGTTCTCATTTTCCTTTTATTGTGAGACCTAAAGTGACCAACTTTCCCTACTCACTAACAATTCAGAGGGAAATTGGAAGAAAAGGTCTCCAACACTGTCATTTCTACCAGCATTGCCCTGGACATTCATACCTTGATCTGTTAAGAATGTATACCAGGCTATCTCTAAATCTGACTTTGACTAACACAAGAAAATATGGACTGACTGACAGTATCTAAAAATGTCAAAAGTTTAAGGGCTGCGGAAATAGCTCAGTGGCATAATCACCTGCCTAGCACGAGCAAGGTTCTGAGTTTGATTCCTGGTACCCACACCAAAAAAAAAAAAAAAAAGAAAGAAAGAAAAGAAAAAAAAAGAATAGAATTACAGATTGAGACCCTGTTTCAAAAAAAAAAAAGTTGAAAGAAACAGAAGTTACTCTTATTCTGTACATTCAAGGCTCACCCCTATTCCTTCTCCTTCTGTAGTGAAAACCTCCCAATTTGACAGATTGACTAAAAGTAACATAAAACATTAAATAATGAAAACCATATAAGAAAAAGACAAGCCCTCCACCTTGTGGCTCACTAGTAGAACGCTTTAATATTAGGAATCACTAACTATGACCCTATAATATCACTGAATGATTTACTATTTCTTAGAAATCATCCTAGACCAATATTTTTATTTTTAGGTGGGAAACTGAAGCCAAGAAAGATGATAATACCATGCCTATAACTATACTGGAAAAGTACAAATTCTCCACAGGTTCATACTTTCCAACTTTACTGTTTACCTGTACTTACTCATGTTCAGGATAACTTTCCAAGGACCAAATGGATTTAGGTTTATAATTCTTTACAAACAAGGAAAATTACGATATTATATTATGCTGCTCAAGGCAAAATCTGTTTAGTCAAAAGGAAACGGGAATAAACTCCAATAAAAGGGAAAAAAAGAAAAAGCCAGAGACTGGTTCCATGATTCCCAAGCCTTGCACTCTGGTCATCTGCTAACCCTTCTTTCCAGGTCATCCTGACACATTTCATAGTAGACAATGTTTTTTCCAGTGCCTTATTTCTGGTTGTTATGACTCCTGCAAATTACATGCAAAGTTAAGCCCACAACTAGAGTAAATTTCATTATTACCCCACAACCATTTAACCAAACCAGACATTTTTTCTCAAAAAAACAAAAAGTCCTTTAAGTACAGCTAGAATTTTAAAAAATTCCACAGCTCAACAATAACTATGGTTAAGAAATATTATAAATAAAAATTGCTATCACTGTTCATGGTCCTACATGTACATATTAAGATAAGGTAATAAGAAGAAACAATCTCTATAGTTCACAGGAAAGATCTAAGAAAATAAATATGGTAAGAAAACATAAGCTTTAACAATCAGACAGACTTTAACCTTAATATCACCGCTGCTGCTCAGTAGCTGAGTGATACTAAGTTCCTCAATGTTTTTGAGTCTAAGATAATATATGTCAATGCATATTTCAAAGAATGGCTGCAAGAACTCAATGAAATTTAAAGTGACAAACTCAATACCTAGCATATAAAGCTTTAATATTTCCATATTAACTTTTGCTAGTGTAGGTGTATTTGCTGACCTATGCATAATAACCTCAAAAAGATATACAACAAATTGCTAGAAGATGACCGAGCTAAGGGACAGGTGAAAGACTTTTGTGGTATACAGGGTTATAAATTTTTAATTTATTCAAAGAATAAAGCTTTTATATAATCAACTGTATATAAAATCTATAAAGAAATGTGACACTAATACAACACTCCAAAATAAACATGTAATCTATCATATTAACAAGTTAAAGAAGAAAATCAGGATTATATTAACCAATTCAGACAAGCCATACAACAAAATCTGACACTCATTTATAATAATGATACTCAGAAAAATAGTAACACTAGAGGATGTCCTCAACTCGCTGAGGAGCATCTAGATGCATCTAGTCTTTAACAAATACTCCTAGTAGTGAAAACTAGCCCAAAGTAGTGATGGCATGCCTGTAATCCCAGCATTCCAGGGGGCAGAGGCAGGAAGATCACAAGTTGGAGCCAAGCTAAGGTAACCTAGGGACTTAGTGAGACCTTATTTCAAAATTTAAATTTTCTTTTCTTAAAAAAAGGATCAAGGAGGTGGTTCAGTGTGAAGGCCTTGGGTTCGATTCTCAATACAAAAACTAAATATAAATTTAGAAAGACAATGTTTGTCCTTAAGACTGGGAATAAAGCAAGGATTCCCACCCACTGCGCTCTAGGTCAAACAGTGTTGAAAGGCCTGCCCAGCGCAGTAAGACTAGGCAAGAAAAGGTCACAATACATAAGATGATCACAAGAGTCAAGCATACTTACACATACTGAGAGTAAATATGTGAAAAAAAAGTCTAAATCTAATATCAACAAGTGTATGATTCATATGCTGAAAATTATAAAATGCTAATAAAAGGTAGTAATTAAAGTCTAAATAAATGGAGAGATATACAGTATTTATGAATTAGATTCGGGTTAGGGATATGCTGCAGTAGTAGAGCACTTGTCTAGCACACACAAAGCCCAAGGTTCTCATCAATTTTTTTTCTCCTTTCTTTTTTTCCCCCTCTCCTCTCTCTAGTTATCCTTCCAAGTTTGTTCCTATTTCACAGTATCTATTATACATTTTGATGCTTTCAGTTTCTCATACCAGAGAAATAATACAGTATTTACACGTGTCTGATTTATTTCACTTGAATATGGCTTTAAGAAGCATTCA